AGCATCTCTGATTTGTGCATATTAATATTCATAAGTCCATTTTAATAAAGCATGAGCAGGCATTACAGAAAGCAGCAGCTCCATTGCCCTATATGTAAGTATCACAGAAGAAAGTCTGGAAGACAAGCTTTCCAAACAATTTCAGCAGAACAAGCCTGCTGTACGCAATACCATGAAACTATTTCCCAGATAAGGACAACTTTCCAGGACACTCTTACCGATTCTTTCTCTCCTTCCAGTCTGATTGCACTGGAGAATACAAAGCCCTGGCTCATTTTTGTCTCAGGGGACTCTTAACAAGTAAATGAAAAAAATAGTCTGAATTGCAAAAAAGAGAAAAGGGGAGGTGGGAAAGTAAAGCATGATCTTTTCTTCAAGACTCTTTTCTAATCACCACCAGCAACAGCTTGCTTTGTCACAATCCTCACTACCTAGCTACAGTACTTAATTTTTTGCCAAGGCTTGCCCAGATCTCTTTGCTTGGCCATTCATAGCCTTGGTGCCTATATGCTTCTCGCATAGGTTTTGAAAGTAAAAAAAAATTGTTTGAGCTCTAGCACCTCTTTCATTACAAATTAAGCACTGCTGCCTATATGTAAGGCTTTTACTTCTATGGAAACACTATCTACCAATAAGTAATTTACATAAGTAGAACCTCTCAGTCTGACGCATTATTAACTTTCAAATTTTCTACCACCAATCTCCACAAACACACACAGAAATTAATTTTGAACTCTCCCAATCACCACATCCTCCCAAATTCTTCTTTGGGCAGATACATTATTTAATTTTGGTGGGGTTTTTTGTTTGGTTGGGTTTTTTTGTTTGTTTTTTACAGGGGAAGGGGAACACGTGAAGTGGAGGATTAATGAAGTCTGATTTACATTAGAAACATTTACAACCTAAGGCCTCCATCCTTTAAGCCGCTCTGCATGGATTGACCTTGGCATCCAGATCTGCCCACATGGAGTGACTTCCAAGACTGAGGCCTTAGCTATGAGGTAACTACTGTAATTCAGTTTGGCTATGTCTACACTGCTGGCAACCAGCAGTGCCTATGCAAATGAAGCATGGATTAGCATTTAGCACACTTCATTTGCATAATTTATTCAGGCCATTTTTGCACAAGAGCTTTTTGCACAAAAACAAGCAGCCTGGACAGGATTTTTTTTTGAACAAAAAACCCATTTTGTGCAAGATCCTTATGCCTCTACAAGACAGGCAGAGCCTTTGACTGAGACATAGCCTTTGACTGAGTAAGAGTCCTATGTATTTGCACAGGCATGGGATTACAGCTCTAGTAGTCATGGTAACTCAGAGTTACCTAACTTTGGTACGTCTGTATTTCTGTGACAACTGTGCAAGGAAAACAAAAATAGCAGGTCTAGCATGTGAGGCATTAAGGGAGCAATTTTACACATTTATTGCTCATAAATCTCAAAGACCAAGGGAGGAAAAAAAATCCTCCAAAGAGCAGCATTGTTTAGATAATCCTGAAAGTGCTACCAGGATCCATTATGATGATTTACAGACATTTTCACTTCCTTCCATGATCTTTGCCAAAAAATCTGTTAAAATTACACAGAAAGCTGCTTTTGTTTTGCACATTTTTAAAAACTGAACTAAAGCAATTTGCTTTAAAATAATTTAAATTAAATTCGGCTTCTACATCATTTATGAAATAGAGGGCAGAGAAAAAACAAAAACTTAGAATTTCTTTTGAAGATTAATGACATTTGAAAAGCTTATGATATAACAATTAGTGTGCACTGAACCCCTTTGGAAGGAAACAAGGCATGTTGTTGAGAGTAAACGAACAAAAGTAAACACCAGAAATATTGTTGTACTTAAGCTGCAGCAGTTTGTATGGTAATAAGTGGTATCATATGTATACAGTATTAACATGATTTAGTTGATCATTTCCTGTCTCTTTAGGACTCAGCTGAGACTTTTCTAAATGCTATTTTATAGTATAAATAAATATATTTAACCAACCCTACAAATTGGATACACTTGAATACTACAAATGATCCTGACGGGTAACTATAATTGGGACCACTGGGGCTGTTCTAATTCCCAATAAAGTCCAAGGAGAGATTCCCTTTTACTGTAATAGGTGTGTTATGAGGTCCTTGTTATGGAGGTGATTGATATATATGACAGAGGTAATGATTCTGAATGTGTGCACTGGTCCTTGAGTAATGTTTCTCACTCCCAAATACATTTTGGCACAAACCAAATTTGCTAATTCACAGATGATCCCACTTGTCACTTGTGTTTAAATTTATCTCTCTGCTTCTTAGGACTCGGATACGAGGAAATGTTCAAAGGATGGGGGCAAAGATTTTCTCTAAGCTTGTTTTGTAAATGCACAGGTGAAAACTACAAAGTGCTAGTACTTGGATTTACCATGGTTTGGGGACAAAATAATGTTGCATTCCTGGACAGAGAACAAATAGCCCTAACATTTCTGATGATGTGTACTACCCTTACATCACTACCAAGCTACTGCGAAATCTGAAAGCAGTAAACTGAAAATGAAACTAAACTTTCCTTATGAACACAGACACCAGCCATTTTCTTCTCTGATTTGTTACAGCTTGTTCTGTAGGATGCACACACAGTACTTCCTCATAGAATTTTGTTATTTTCCTTGGACTAAAGCAAGTCCTCTAGTGCTTTTACTTTGAGTGTGGAAAAAACAGCAGAACATGCAGAAAATCTCTGCAATGATTCACTGCCTATTCCTTTAAGAAGTTATTGCCAAAAGACTCCAGAAAACACAGTAAAACTCCATTTGGGACTCCATTTTATCAAAAACCTTATTGTTCCCTTTAGGGTAAATGAAACCATAAGTACTGAGGAGAGAAAACTAAATCTCTCTGCAGAACATTAATAGTTTAAAAATTCACTGCAGATCTACTTACTTTTGCCAGCTCCTGCTTTTTAAAGATGTAGTCCTTCAAGACTACCCTGGCAGGGAGAAACAATTGGGCAGTGCAAATTATTTTGTGCATGTGCGCTCAAAAATCAGGATACACCCATTATACAGTCTCTTCCTTAGTACACTGTAATTTCCATACTCCAGGTGTTCCTAATTCAGGAACACCCATGGTACAGATCCTGGCAGGCACAGCCAGAAGGGTCTGCATGCTGCTACTGCTCCTCCCACCCATCCCAGCTGGGAGAACCGCAGCACAATGACACATACTGCCAGAGGATTTTCCTTGCCACTCCCATAGCAGTAAGGTGCAGTACCTGAGAGCAGCAGGGGACATGGAGCACAGGTAAGCTCACTCCCTAGGCTAGCAAAATCTTTAATCTGGCAAAATCTGTTTCCCAGGGTTGCTGATTAAAGAGGCTCATGTGTATACACTATTTTTGGTTCTGTTACTATTGTTATTTGCTAATTGTTATCTCAGAATGCATTTTCTCATTTCCTAAGTAGACTGTTTCTCCAGGACATCTGTTCCTCACCTTTTCTTAAGCAGCTAGAATAGCACCAGCCTTGACAACCTCACAGTCATGAACAAAATGTTATTCATCACAAACATGTAGGATACAGTTCATCACTTCTGAAGGCATGGTTCTGATTCATGTGTTCAGACAACAACCTCCAAAATTAGTAACTTCACAGACATCTGATGTCTACATATTTCACATCCAGAAAAAGCACAATCCTGTGTTCCAGTTTATCATAAAAGGGTTGCCTTATAGAGCCTTTCTAAAATTAGATCCACCATATGATTATATTAGGGAACTTTGACAGCAAATAGCTTAACTATTTGCAAATTATGTTTAATAAATTGTGTATAGTTTAGTCCTGCTGGATCTGCACAATCATTTGTAAATGGAAGAGAGAATTAAATAAGATGGAGTAATAGCAACGACTGGGGGAGGAGGAAGGAGCAGTTGCCCCTGGGTCTGGCAATTCAAAGGGGTCTGGGGCTTCCAGGCTCTGCTGCTGCTACTGCAGCAGTGGCCAGAAACCTGGGCCCTTTAAATCTCTGCTAGAATGCCATGCCGTGCACTCTGGGCAGCTCTCTCCCAGTGGTGCAGAGGGCAGGCTGACCCTGGCCCTTCCACCTGAGGCCCCAATCCTTCTGGGAGCACAGAGCTCTCATTTTTCCTGGCCCTCTCCTCCCCCCAATGGCCAGGGGCCTGTGAAGACTGTCAGCTCCCCTGTCTATGAGTTATAGGAAGCCAAAATAATGAAATTACGTGCACATACAAACCACTCTGGTCTTCTGTCCACACTCAAATTGTACTAATGTAACTACATCAGTTTAGAACCTGTTGACTAAATCAGTGATATTCACTTGTATAGACATTCTTAAATTGATTTCAGAACGCCTATCAATTTAGTTTGAATTGGCTAGGAACAAAGACACAATGAACCCAGCTGCTACTGGCATCCCAAAGCGACCCCAGCCCAGTGTTGCTAGCTTGTTTCACTGCAATAGTAACAGCCCAACTTGCTGCAGAGTAGCTTGGGCAACTGTCCTACCACAGTGGAAAAAACAAGGCTGCCATCTCTAGAAGTAGTGGAGAGAGGACTGCAGAAAATGTCTATGGATGTTCCACTGAGATAACTCAAGGGGAAAAGGGGGGCATCCCTGTTCAGGTAAAGAGACTGCACTAAATGGCCCTTCCCACTTAACCCAACAAGCCCAAGAAATAAAAACCAGACATCAACTGTACGTTTTTACCCAAACACAGGGCACTGATACGATGTAGCCTGTATAACCAGACTCCCATGCAACCCTTTCTGATTTTTTCCCCAAATTTTTATTTTCTAATCTTATATCAGTAAAGTAATGAAAAGTCAATACTTTTGTCTTAGCTAGCAGATGACCCAGTGCCATTTTTAAATGGGGAGCAAAGGCAGGAGGTGGGGCAAGGAGTGGTAGAGTAGATGAGGTCTGAAGGAAAGGGAAAAACAAAAGCAAAAATTAAACCAAACATCACCACTGCCAGGAATACAGCATGTAAACATTTACCTGCGCTCCCATCCCCTTCATCTGCAGATTCATCTGCACTTGTCCGGCAGGCCTAACTGGACTTCTGTAGAGTTTCAAACAGTTCCTGGTTCACAGCATTGTTTGAATCTGCATCCATATCTCCCCTTCATCCCGTCCATAGCAGGGGTCTTCATCTCAGGATCTTCCAGAGTGATCCTCCTTCTGCAGCTGATCCAAAGTATCCACAGTTGCTGGCAGCATGCTGGTGAAGTCACCCCCTTGAAAGTAGGAATAAGAAATCCTCCAGAAAAGGGCTTATTTTCCGGAGAATTGCGTCTAGACTGGCGCTTTTCTCCAGCTTATCCCCAAGCCAGAAAAAAGCAGCAGCCATGTAAATGCAAATGCCGTGGGGGTATTTAAATCCCCCGCGGATTTGCAATTCCGACTCGTCTCATTAGCATCCCTTTTCCGGAAAGGGATGCCAATGTAGACGTAGCCCATCTGTCACAGGACATGAGCATTGTGGACAGCTGCTGGAGGAACAGCAGTAGTGTTCGTACAGGTCATGCATGATCTCCTCTCACACTGTGTCAACCTAAGTAGACCAACAATTACTCTGCTTCATTCAGAGAGGTATGTTACTGCATCACAGAAACAGAATGCTAATGTCAACTGCAGACACATGCCTCACCCAGGCAACAGCATCAATTGACCTAAATAGACTAGGCTTCCGGCTAAACTCACTCAGGGGTCTCAAACCAAATTAAGTTTTCACACAAGAGGTTTGCACTGATTTATATACATTATTTTCTAAGCTGTAGTAATTAAATTATTGCAGTCCTTGTGTGTAGAAAATATATAAGAAAGTTCACTACCATACTAGGATGTTTTGTTGGGGTTCTTTTTTGTTTGTTTTGAAGAACAATTAAAGAAAAGTCTGCCAGTATTGGTGAGTGAGGAAAGGGAAAAGGAACCCATTTGCATGTACTTATGAGTCAGACTAGGAGCACGAAAGTCTATTTGTAGGTTGTTGTAGGTTGTACTACAGAATCACAATAACAAGGAAAAGTCCTTTTATGTCATCTTGTCAGTGCTTCTAACAATGCATCATTTTCCCATGTAGTTTATCCTCCAGGGTTGAACTTTATAAACAACATAGCAATTTTCTCAGTGGTCTCCCACGCAGGGCCATCCTTAAACTTTATAGGGCTCTATGCAACTGATGTAGCCCCTGCTCCCACAGCTTCTGCCTGGGGCTTGGGGCTCAAGGCTTCCTCTTCCCCATACAGTTGCTGCCTGAGGTTCGGTATTTCCCTCCTTCCCTCACAGGTAGCTTCTGCCAGGGCTAAAGGCTCCCCCGCCCCATGTATCTTCTACTGGGTCTTGGGTCCTTTGGGGGTCAGAGCAGATCCACAGAAGCTGAAGGATCCTCTTTGCCCCCAGCCTGGCAGGAGGGAGATGGAGCAGGGAGAAAGGCAGTCCTGCTGCTACAGGCAGAAGAAAGCAGAAGGGGGGGAGGGGAGGAGGAAGGGCAGCAGACAGGCTGCAGTGGGGAGTAATAGGGCCATATTTAGACATACAAGCACACGCAGCTGCATAGGGGCACCCAAAAATTTGATGCCCCAAATTTTCAGGTGCCCGAAGCAGCCTCTATTTTGCATATGCCTAGGGATGCTTTGCTGCCACTCAGGTATTGATCAGACCCAATCCTGTTTACTTAACATGAGCCATCAAGCTCTCAGCCCAAGATGGTATGGCCTACAGTGGTGAAAGACACTGAAATGGTGGTTCGAGACATAAGTTATGAATGAGTTACAAAACGTTATTGACTCCAATGGTAGAGATTAGCATACACTGATTGCAGCAGCTATTGTTAAAATGGGAAAAGAAAGCTAGCTTATTCTACCCATGGTAAAATAGCCCTGGTGCAATACATGGAGGAAAGTTTTGGCTTTGTCTGCACTGGCAATTGGGCAACAAAGCTTTTGTCATTCACAGGTGCTTAATGTGAAAGTGTGGCCATGACAAGCTCACTGGGACAGAGCTCTCCCAGTGTTCTATGTAAACCACCTCCAGGAGGGAAGTAGCTAACAGTAATGGAAACCCAGAGCTTTACTTACAGCACTGTAACTTTCTACTCTCAGGGGATGTTTTTTTCAACTAATCCATAGGCACTTCCTCCCGGTGGGGCTCTTGTACATTTCAAAAGAGGAATGCGGAACACTGCCTGCAGCCTGGGGCCAGCAGAAAGTCCCACTGACCCTGGGCTCCATGTTGCACTGCTGATTTGAAATGACATGCAGAGCCTGGGGTCAGCTGGGGACTCCCCAGTTGACTCTGGGCTCCAAGCAGTGCCGCTGCTTTGAAACACTACCTCAGCATCTCAAAGGGGACAGCGTCACACAGTGAGCCTGGGCTCAAGAAGAAGTACCCCTCCTTCCTCCCCACTTTGCTGCTTCTATCTGATAGAGGCAGCAAGGGAGGAGAATCGACTAGTCGACTGACTATCCAATAAGCATTTGCTTCCCTGGCCCTGCCTCTTCTGCCCGAGGCCCTGCCCCCTCCAGGAGCATGGAGCTGCCCCACACACACAGTGCCCAGGGGTGTGGCAATTATGTCAGCCCCCTTGACCAGTAGTTACATAAACTTCAGTCCCTTGAAAAAGTACCTAGTTTCTGTTATGGTAGCTATTGAGAGATTTTTGCTCCTTTCAGAGGACTACTGACTCATGCAGTGGTTTATAAAAACTCATATCTAATTACTGTCCTTGCACAATATTTAACTGTTTCACCTGCTTTGATAAAACAGAATAAAAAAGGGGCTCCAACTTTATCACGGATAGGCACAGTGCTGCTCCAAAGTACCTGTCTCTCTATCTTTTGCCAAAATGCCATTTGTAACTGACCATTACTATTTGGTGAAGAATAAATAAATATCCCTAGGCCTTCAACTATGCAAAAGTTCTTTCTTACTTTATTAGCATCATATGTATGGAAGTCACAAGTAAAGACAGGTCCCTGCCAATGTTCCCTCTAATTTTTTCCATTAATCTGTAGAATAAATATGTTATGTGCACCAAGGCATGTGCAGATGTGCACCATCAATAGAAACACATGCTACCAGCTGTGGGTGGCTATGGGTGCCCTGCTAATCAGCTGGACAGCATTTGGATCTCTCCTGCGTGGCCACCCAAGCAGTCAGCTTAGAAGGATCCAGCTGAGAGAAAGAATTGTTTCCCCCTTTATCAAAAATGAATTGTAAATCAAATACAATGGACTGGAGAAAGAATCATTCATTTTGCAGTTCTTGACTCACAGATCTCATGATTAGATCTGTCCCCCTGGCCCTGTAATACAATGCAAGAAACATAACTTGGCATGGGAGATTAGGCAGTCTAGAATGAAAATAAATGAATGTTTAATGACTACAGTGTTACAGCATTAAACATTTGACGTTAGCTAGTAAAATTTTGAGAGAGGAATCTTCCCATTCCTATATCCATATAGATTTACTCATTAAAATAAAAAAGTCCAGATGCATCACATCAGAAAGATGTACTAAAGGTCCTCTTGTTTGGACTCTGGCACACAATGAACCTGTGCAGGCCAAAGGATAGAACCTTTGGAAGAATGTTTCAGCAGCATCTTGGCCAGGACTCGATGCATCGATTGAACAAGAAGCCCAGCAGCAGCACACATTTGTGACTCAATAGACTACAGTAATTCCTCATTTAACACTATAGATATGTTTCAGAAAATGATTATGTTAAGTGAAAACATGTTATGTGGGGTCAGTTTTCCCACTGAAAATAATGGAAAAGGTAGGGGTTGCGTTTCAAGCGGTGGTGTCTGTTGGGACCAGGATATAAGGTTGGGGGAGAAAGGGGACTGGGTTACAGCAGGGAGGGGAGGTGTTTGGCTCTGGGGAAGGGAAGGAGAGGAGGGCGCGGGGGATTGGGTTGGGAGTATGCTCCTGTGACGGGTCCTCCGGGACACGCACTGCGTCCAGCAAGAGGGGTTGTTGGGGAACGGTGCGGCGAGCGGCGAACCCTCTGCCGCTTTGCAGGAAGGCGGGGGAAGCCCCCCTCAGCCACCAGCAACAGGCCAGCTGGGGAAATCGTGTTATTCCGGGGACGGTCATGTAATTCAAAAAACGTTCCCTAAAAAAAATCGTCCTATCGTGAAAACGTGTTAAGCAGGCACGTGTTAAATGAGGAATTACTGTACTAAAGTAGAAAGCTGTCACACAGGGAATGGAACTTTAGGTGAGGTTATTTTTTTTAAGTGAATTGCCTGAGGTCAGGCAGGAATTAAACCCAGAGCCTATGAAGGTCAATGCATTAGTCAAAAGACGTCCTGTAAAAATGACTCATCCTGGCTGTCTTTCTGCTGACTCAGAATTATTCCCTTTAATTATATTTGCCGTTATGGTGCATTAATGCTAAGCATTAATTTTGAAGGAGGATGCTGGTTTAAACACCTGTCCACAGGGAACAGGACTGCAATGACAATTCATTTCACAGCCAATGAAGAAAGATTATAATGACTCATTGATTACTGATCTATACTAGCTAGACAACCCAGCACTTTCAGAGGAATTTAAAAGCCTCTCCTGCAAGACATCTGTATCCACACTAGTCGTCCTATCAGAATGCATAAGAACCATTTACCAGCACTCTGAAAGGTGACTCTTGGAAAAGATCTATCATAATTAATTGTTTCACCATTTTAAACACTGACCAAGTCCCCTTAATTGGGACAGCTCACTGCATATTTTATCATCAACTCCTGATTAGGTACAGATGTAAATTCCTGTTTAATTAGTTAACCAGTTAAAGTAGAACATTAAGTTTAACCAGTTAACCAATTAAATAGGGCTGGCTGGAGCACGCCTGCCTGTGATGTGCAGGACCTACTGAAGTTGGGGACAGCTCCCGCCAGACAGAAGTACCCTCCACCCATGATGGGCCCCACACAGCTGGAGCAGCCCTCCACCTACAGCAGGCTGCTCAGCCCCTACCAATTAACTGTAAGCCTCACCCTTAACCATTAACATGCCTACCCCACAGTTCTGCAGTGAGCTTTGCACATGCAGACCTCCATGCTTACATGGATTCCCATTTAAATCAGTGAAGTTCCATACAGGTACAGGAGTTTGTCTGGGTGAAGCTCACTGCAGGAAAGAGACCTAGACATGAAATAAAAATAAACAAGGAGAGGAGGTTCAGGGCAGTCTATCTTTAATCTTCTTCAGCTCGAATGTTAGCAATGCAGTGCAG